GAGGGTTTGCCTATAAAGACCATACATTCCGACTCCATGTGTCTTCGTCTCCTCATCCTACCTCTACACTATCCTCGTCACGTATTTCCATCCTTCTCCACTCTCTCCCCGTCCACAGCGCCATGGCAAGTAAAGAAGCAAATAGCGACAAACTCACCGGCTGGTCAGCCTGGGGCGGAGAGGGTCAATCCGGGCCGAAATATATTCGCGAATACAATGTCGACGACTCCAGTTGTGATCCCGTTTTCGAAGGTCACATCGAATTGGAAGAACTTACCTATGTGAACGAGGCACTTAAATCCTGCCACATGCCAGCAGACAGTGGAATCGATCATGTCGGCTGTAATGAAACTGTCGCTGCGAGCACTACTTGTACCATGCCCCACCCCCCTTTCGGTAACACCCACCTTTCGGTAGCGCAATTGAAAAAAACTCCACCAAAAGTCTACCATTTCACTTACACCGATTGCAGCCAACTTTAAAGATATTCGCAAGCAGTCACTTGGAGCGGATAGAGAATTGACCGAATTCCAGTTTTTGGTAGTTAAATATTTCTACAGGGCGCTGTGTTCTGTGTGAATGTTGCGCGCGAAATTACCATTCAGCCGCGTAATCTTCCTCTCCCTCCCGACGATGATTATTCTCATTATTCCTCCACCACATGTCCAAAAAGACCTCAAAACGGCCTTGACGTGTCTACGTTGAGGCTAAAAACGCAACTGTCATATAGTAAATCACAAACAACGTCTTGTCACAGTATCGCGCCGCTCAAAAAGTACGACATACCTCGGCAGCATGATTCTGACTGACAAAAGTCCAAGCAGCCCTGGTTGATCAGATCCAGGCTCGCAAACACTTGAGAAAGAATCATAAGGCTCGGTTTGTCTCCTATATCATCTGTCAAGAGTCTCTTGGCTCTGCTCCCTCCAATAGACCGATCCACGCCTGCGTGGAGACTCTAAAACGCAACTGAACAACAAGCGGACAGCAGGCCGCAGCCGGTCCACCAAATTCATCAATCGCCATCCGGAGATCAAAAACAAGCGTGAAAGACGTCAGGAAGCTAACAGGTTTAACACTTTCACGCCTCGGGCGGTTCACTGGTACTGCGATATCAGGGACAAGGGGTATGGGCGGATTAAACCGGAGAATATCGTGAATGTCGCCGAGGGCGGTATGATGTTGGCTTTGGTGAGCGTTTGACTTGCCGTTCATTATTCCAACTAACCAGCGTCTTTTCTCCAGGTTTGGAAAGTCTTGTGGTTTGCAGTACAGACCCAAAACGGAAGGCCCTGCTGAAGGGACCACAGTCCCGCAACTAGACCTCATTTATCGAAGCCATCACTGCGGATGGCCGTGCCCTTACTCCTGGTATCATTTTCAAGGGCAAAGAACTCCAGAAAGAGTGGTTCGTGACGGAATTCGGCAAAATTGCCGACCGGAATTACATTACCTCGCCGAACGGATGGATGGACCACCTGTCGCTATTGAGTGGCTTGAGAGAGTCTATTTGCCTGAGACGCAGCCTGCCGATGAGTCGGTGCTAGGCTGATCATATTAAATGGACATGAAAGCCATGAAACGGTGCGTTTCCGTATTTATCTCCTAGAAATCACTATTAACCGGGACCAGGATGCATGGATGGCCACGTGCGTTTTGAACAACGTCTACTGCTGTTACCTTCCTTCCCACTGCTCTCATGGCCTTCAGCCACTGAATAACGGTGTTTTCAAGGCTTTCAAAGCGGCGCATCGGAAATAACTTCAGAATTTAACTTGTCTGACGGATTCTGCCCCCGTTGATAAGGTCAAGTTTATATGCGCCCATGCCAAAGCACGTGAGGTCGGAATGACAGCAAAGAATATGTTGTCCAGCTGGAGGGTCACTGGAAATTGGCCAATCTCACGATCCGAGGCATTCCGGCATGCAGATATTCACGCAGATCCGGTAGAGACATCTACAAATTCTGCGCCGCTTTGGCTCCTGATGATACACCCAAGAACCAGCCGCCAGATTCGCGATTTCGAAAGAACAAGGCTCCTAGCACTCGGATGAGTTACGCTGTGATCACTAGAGGCTCTGAAGCCCAAGAACAAACGGTTGCTGAGCACAGCAACAGAATTGCGAAGCTGGAGGCAGAAGTGGCCCGGCTGCAGAGAAGCAAGAAGAGGAGAGCGAATCAGAACGCGAACAGACGTTTTATGACTCTTAGTGAAGCTTTTGTGGCCCAGGAAGCCATTCCCCAAAGTAGAAGTCAAGAGATGCCCGTTGTGCCGAATTCTGCGATCGAGGAGGAGGTGGTCTCGGAGGTGGAGTCAGCTTCAGTGATGGAAGTCAGGACGGCACCTGAGGCCCTTTGTCACCACCAGATCCGGGAGAGTGGTAAAAAAAGCGCGGTGCAGATAGGAGCGTCCATTTATCTACGGAATGATATATTTTTGGTGTTTATAATCTCGAGTTCTGGTCATATTTCATGTAGTTCAAATGGTAGACTTTTGGTGGAGTTTTTTTCAATTGCGCTACCGAAAGGTGGGTGTTACCGAAAGGGGGGTGGGGCATGGTACATGTGGCAGCCTCTTTGCTGTGACGGACCGCAAGATCAGAGACCTTTGCTACAACGAGCACTGCGAAATTCGAAATCAGCTGGCCGACATCAGCTCTCGTCTCGGCGCCTTAGAAGCTCAACTTGCCAATACCAATCCCGTCTGTCAGGAGTGCCACAGCACCAAGGATCGCAAACAGCATGCCAAACAGGACCCGCAGCAGCAGCGAGACCAGCCACCTCATGGGCCCGCAGAGCAGGCGCTGGATGACGAACCACGCGCGCGTCGCCGAAGCGGTGGAAGGCATCGGAAGACTTGCCCAGAGGGGGCGAGCGGAGCCGCGAAAACAGTGAACAAAGTCAAGCTCTCACGGGTCTGGCTCGGAAATAACCAAGGGAGTGCCCGCCATGAGTATACGTTGAAAGGCCCAAGAGAGCATGGTGGAGGGGCCGGAGGGCTCTGGAGGTCTGAAACAATCGGGGCCGATACCACGCTGGAAGGAGTACATTTTGCGCTGATGACGGACGTTCTTTTCTTGAAGTCGAGATTAACGGCGGCAGCCACTTTCCCATAACACTGCAATGGAATGACGAGACCGAAGCCTTCGAGGGCAGGATATGCTGAGGAAATGAATCTCCTCATCGGTTACGACGAGATGTTTGAGATGCTCTGCAACCCCTATCAGGCGTGTAGGGATTGGCGGGTTTGTCAAGTATGAGTACAACGGATCACAATAGTCTGCTAGAGCCTAGTCGTACTGTACGGTTTGCAACGAGACGCAGCATTTGTTGCAGGTACGAGTGGGATACTACTTTCTGGAAATAGCGCTGGGGCAGAGATCAAGTGACAATATACATGCGCCGGTTGCCGTGAAGCCGTTTTGGGTTGGCACAGGATGCCAAGGAGGTCGCATTCGAGCGTCCAGCCGTGAACATGTTTTGCCGTTCATGGCTATTGCGCTGCGAGGTCAGTAGTCCCACCCTAACCTTCGAACTAGAGGTGCCGAATCCAGTCACGACAAATAACTTGGCAAGGCAGAATGGGTACTTATGTCGCAAGGGCTGTCAGCCGCAGCGACGAGATTCACGACGTCGTCATTAGACGGAGCAACCCACCCGCATGCTACAAGTCTGAGTTCGCCTCGAGGGCCATAGATTCAGTGGAAATGGAGCAGGGGAGGACATCGTTTATAAGTTGGATTACGACTCCCCTCCGCTCATCCCAGAGCTTGTGCTAAGACTCATTCCGTCATACATTCGCCATCCTCTGGTTGAACAGCCCTGGACTACAAATATTCAGCCAATATGCCATTTCCGTTGCATCTCTTATGTGAACTCCTCAGTGAACTCGAAAGAAATCACACGAGGTCTTTCAGTATTCAGAAGACCCAGGACTTCGATGTGCGCAGTCTTGTTGGCTGGTTCGACAAACATGATACAGCCATCCCACGTCTAGGGTCAGAAGCCGTGGCATTCTTGTCATGCCTCTTTCCCGAACGCAGGCCGGACCGAGTTTTTGGCTTGTCAAAATTTCAGCTTGAAAGGATTGTCCAACAAGCACAATGTCTTGGATCGTCCCGAATGAAGGAGCTACAGATATGGCAAACCAGGAACGGCCCGGACTTCGCAACTTGTGTTGAGCGCGTTATGGCTATAACGGACTGCGAACCAAGGATGGGTCGAAAGTGACTCTGCAAGAACTTGACGACGTGCTCGATCGGATTGCAGCCTTCTCACCTTTCTCGTCCGCTGATCTGCGAGAAGAAACTGAGCGGAAATACCGTCAACCCTGCAGCAGCTCGGACGATCTGCTCATCAGTTTGTTCCGAAGATTGAACAGCTTTGAGGCCAAATGGCTGGTTCGCATGCTATCCAAAACTACAATCCGGCCTCTGTCCCAGAAAGACTGGCGATGGGCAGATTTCATCCGTTTTGTGGAATCTCCTCCGTTTTCAGAATTCAATCCAAGTTGCCGTAAGTATCCTAGGGGACTTGAGATCCGGAATACACCCTACAGGCCGTGGTAAATCCCTGGGAAGAGTTGAGGAAAGTCCTACAGCCGCAGGTTGGAGTCATGATTGAACGGCCAGCTTATGCGAAAGCAAGGAGCATCAAGCATTGCTGCCACTTGGCTGGCTCAAGACTAATGAGCGTGGGCGGAAATACGATGGAGAATACTGTCAACTTCATGTTGACTTAAGCAAACCGGAGCCTGCATCAAAATATTCTCCAAGAGTGGGAGGACTCTACCATCGACCGCATTGGCCTTCATCGCGCGTTACGAGAAAGCCTCGACCTTGGCACGGCAGGCTGCAGGATCAAGAAACAATGCATACTGGAGGGCGAGCTGCTGGTATGGAACGACGACAGTAGGGTAATCGAGCCCTTCCACAAAATTCGTAAACACGTCAGACGATCAGGACGGCTCCTTGGAGCGGCCCAAGACCCCCCATTCAATATGAATGAACATCTCATGATTATGTTCTACGATCTTCTGTTGCTGGACGACACGGTCTGCGCTAGAAAAAGCCATGCTAAGCGGCGACGACTACTTCGGTCTCTGGTTCGCCGGATCCCTGGTCTTGCCGAGGTCGGGTTCCGCGAAGTGGTTGCATTCTCCTCAGCCAATGCTGCTGAGCGGCTCACTGAACTATTCGCACGAGCCATTACACAACGGTGGGAGGGACTGGTGCTGAAAGGTTGCAACGACCCTTACTTCACCTCCGATTGCGACAAGTCATCCATCAAACTCAAGAAAGACTACATTCCAGGCCTCGGTGACTCTGCCGACTTCACTATTGTCGGTGGCAACCATAGCGCGGAGGACGAACAAGAGATTGGAATTGGCAAGCTCTGGTGGACGTCGTTTTTTATCGGATGCATGGAAAATAAAGATGAGGTCTGCCGTTATAATTCTAAGCCAAGACTTCGCATCATCGACATCATCGACAAACATGGCATCCCGAAAGACCATATGCAATATCTCAACCGACATGGATATTTCACACAAATACCCTTCATTGAGTCCACGCCAAATTTTGACGTGGTCTTGTCGAGAAGAAGGTCCGAACGAGTTGAGGTCTCTAGGTCTCTCTAGGTAATACAGCTTGAAACCAGGTAAGAAGGGAAGTCTGCAGACTGTTGTTTCTTCTTCCTAGACCACTGAGGGGTCCGGAGGATCTCCTATTCGAACAGGGACCCTTTGAGGAGTCCGGCATAACTATTACTGGCTCAGGGACCTCGAGAGACTGAACTATCGATTTCATAGCTAGAAGAGCTATTTGATCGGGAGATGGAGCTGATGTTGCTGACGTAGATGACTTACGTGGCCTTCAGTAAGTGGCAAGAAGTGCCCTCTTCCTGATAGAATGTATACTATACCTGAAAACGGGATATCAACTTGGGAGAAGCCTGATCTGATACACTCGAGTCCCTTGGAGGCTTAGAGATAGAAGGGAAAGATACTAAAAATTGGGAAATTTTACCCTTCGATTTATGTTTCTTTTTTGCCCTGCCAAAAGCCCGCTTTGGCCATCTGCCTGGTTTTATTCGATAGATGCCCCTATCCTGAGCCATGCAAATCGGTGATTTTGATGAAAGAAGTTGCTTCTGTTACACATTCTCTATCACCAGATACATTATCCGGCTCACTGTATATGTCCTATATATATCTAATATTAGGTGTTGGGGCCCGACGGTACGCTGGCTTGTATCTGACAGGCTGTCTGACAGTGGAGCCCAGAAACAGCTGTTCCGGTGGTGTTGCAACCTTGAGAAAGGCACTTCACACCTTCTCCCTCACTCGGCTATGGCGACGAAGCGAACGATCTAGGAGCCCCAGGACTGGGAACAATATTAGAGCCCGTGTGGATAGAACTATTGATTATTACCCCTATCCACAAGTTGATCTTTCGAGACGGATCAAATGCTCTGGAGCCCCCTAACCGACCTAGCTTCACTGACTTTGCTGAAGAAGCTACCCACTATGTCGACCTTAACTCCATAAATCAGAGAGCTTATTCTGTTGCTACTGCTGACTATGAAAGCAGGCGTAGGGAATACCTTTACGAGACTAAGCTAATCACTGCAGCCCGTACAGCTATTACGGAGTCTATCAGCACTGCTAAACTTACCTCCCTTCGAGAGGGGGATACGCTTCGGCAGTGGCTGCAGAAGCTGGAAGCATCGACTGCTCCTTCACGCGGCTTTATGACTGACCGAATTAGGAAGCAGTATTCTAGTCACCTTCATGCTAGTACTAAGACTAACATACTAGACTGGCTGACTAAGTGGGAAGAGATTATAGAAGAAGCTGACCTTTACTTCCTATCTGAGGCACTAACAGGCCAGTGGCTACGAGATATAGCTAGCGTCATCCGACCTCTTAGCGACGGATACGCTACTATCTTCTACGAAGATAGCCGAAGAATCGATGAAGAAGCAGCAACTGCTCAATATAGGGTCTATCAAGCTCTTCGACCAGACTCTATAGGAAGCACGCCTACTTTGGCAGCAGTACCACCTTCTTCGACTCACTGGACCTTTCAGCTTGTTGCTAGAAAAATCAGAGAAATTGCAGAGCAACAGCCGCACCAGCAGAAAGGAGGAATCAAGAGAGGTGCCGGCTTTCTAGCTGATAAAGAAACTGATGAAAACAACCCTTCTGAAGAAAGACCGAAAAGAAGAGAAAGGGAAGAAACCTGACACAACCAAAAACACTGAGAAAACCGATAAAACCGATAAAAACCGATGCCCTGCGTGTGGACGGATAAGTCATGTTCTTTCTGACTGCTGGGCTCTCTTCGAGGATAAACGCCCTCATGGTGTGATTCGAATCCTCGAATAGAAGAAAGGTGCAAAAGGCCCTTGAAAAGACCCAGATTTAAGAAAGAAGGTGGAAAAATCCGTCATGAGAAGGAGGCCTAGCAACTACCGAAGAGTCGGATAGTCGGAAGAATCGTTGGGCACGCAAACCCTGCCTTTGTCTTTAAGGCTAGCCAAACGACCGCCTCTAACGACTACCCTCTTCGAAAGTCGACTCTGCTAGACTCAGCAGCTTCTTTACATATTTGCAATAACCTATCGAAATTCCGATCTTTTAGAAAAGCAAGAAACGAATACCTAGTCACAGGGATTCAGAAGTCCGGATCAAAGGTTACGGCAGAGTCAACGTTACGGTCACGGCCCTAGACGGGTCATTACGGTCTTTACGATTAAAGAACGTTGCTTATTGTCCGAAATTTTCAGCAAGCCTGGTATCTTTTCAGGCTCTTCGAGACGAAGGAATCTACTGGGATACCTTCACAGAGCCCACAAGGCTAGTCTACCGAGACAAGAGACCGATTTGTATTTTATTTCGGAAATATCGCCAGTTTGTTCTCGATTTCCAGCCTATTCAGAAGGAGGATATTGAAGAAGCGGTTTTCAAGCCTCTAAGCCGAGAAGAAGAGGCTCCCGGGACCCAAGACCGACAGCGACAGCAGAAGCTAGCCTTTGGCATGCCAGACTAGGTCACCCGGGACCCCTAGCTCTTTATAAGCTAGGATTACGAAAAGGAGTGCATATTCGAGGCCCAAAAACCTACGAATGCCAGCACTGTGCTCAAGGGAGGGCAATACGACAGGTTTCTCGAAGAACCCTATTCGAGACGAACGTCAAGAGCCCTGCCAAGAGATTTGGATCGACTGGACCGAGCTTACCCTGATTTCGAGGGCTATGTCCGTGTGATGTTCATCACAGACGCATATTCGGGCATGGTTTTCCCTACTTCCTTAAGACTTATCATTCAAAGCACCACCTAGCCGCACTTCGAGATTTCGTTAGCTGGATGAAGCTTCGTTTTGACTACACGGTGAAAATTGTACGGTCTGACGGAGAGCTATTCACTAATAAGATTAAGAAGTGGCTACGAAAGAAGGGAATTTCAGCAGAAAAATCAGCCTCGAATACACAAGCCCAAAACGGAGGGCAGAACGGTCCGGTGGAATTGTTATTGAAAGGGCTCGCAAGATGAGGATCGCAGCAGGCCTTCCTCACGACCTTTGGAAAGAGACCGTGGAAGCATCCTGCTATCTACGGAATCGAACCCCTCGAGCCCCTAGGACTACGAATTCAACTCCGAATTCGTCAGAAGACTGGAAAACACCTCTTGAGCTCTTTACGAAGAAGGATCAACCTCAACAGCATGCCCAGCTCAAGGCCTACGGCTGTAGGGCCTACGCTATGACTTCTAACGCACAGCTAGGCAAGAAAAAGAGGCAGAAGCTTGATCCACGGTCACATATAGGATACCTGGTTGGATATAATTCGACTAATATCTTCCGGATCTGGATTCCGCAACGAAGAAAGGTTATTTCGACAAGGGATGTTATTTTTGACGAATTTACCTATTTTGATGGGAAATTCGAGCAGCCGCAGCTGCTTCCTAGCATCAATGATCTTATTCAACGCGTTGAGATACCGGAGGACCAGAAAATCAACCAGGAAATCCTTGACGAAGAATCGGAGCTTGAGAGCGTGTTCGACGAAGACTCAGACGAGGAAGACGAAGAGGAACAGACCGACCCAGACGAAGAAGACTATAAGAGGGTTAAGGCGCTTGAAGAAGCTTCTCTTATAACACCTCCACTGACAGAAGAAGATCCTGAGGCAGGCTTCTTGGTCTCTCTTCCGGTTGCTACCCCTAAGGGGGTGGGGCGGTTTGACAACTCCTGGCAAGCTTCCTTTTTATCAATCAACGAGTCAAACAGACCTCTTTCTACATTGTCTACCAAGGAATCGTCTGATCAGATGATAGGGTAGACCGGAACTCAAACCACTGCCGATTTTGGACAGATTTAATGACTTTTATCCTACTCCTATAGAGGACGGGGTGCATGGAGCCTTTACTGCTGGAAGACTATTTAAACCAAAGACTAAGGTACACAAGAAGGACCTACCAGGCCCACCAGAAAACACCAAGCAGCTAGAAAAGCACCCTTTTAAAGAGGAATTCGTTAAAGCCCAAAAGGACCATCTAGCCTCGCACGAAGAGATGGGGTCCTTTATCGAAGTTCCGTGGAAAAGGGCTGCTGGCAAACAAGTTCTATACTGCAAATGGGTCTTTATCTATAAGACTGACAAGCATGGGTACCTTCAAAGTGCAAAGCTCGACTTGTGGTCTGCGGCAACCAGCAGGAAAGGGGATCTACCGACTCGAGCAACGACCCTAGCAGGGATGTCTTTCCGGGCACTCATGGCTATTGCAGCAGAATTCGACCTCGAACTTGATCAAATGGATGCAGTAAACGCCTTCGTTAACTGTCCACTCGAGGAAGAGGTAGTCTTTATGAGGATGCCTCCCGGATTCTGCAAGCCAGGCAGAATTCTTTTACTCCGGAAAGCCCTATACGGTCTACGAAGATCCTCTACTTTGGCAACAGCACCTTACCCGATCCTAGAGGAATTAGGATTCGAAAAGGTCCCACAAGAACCTTGTGTGATGAAGAAGGGGCAGTCATTGTCTTCTTCTACGTTGACGATATTGTCTGGGCCTATAAGAAAGAAGATCAAGGAATAGCTATGGAGGCTATGCGAGGACTGCAAGAACGATATAAAATGACATTGCTTGGGAGCCCCGCTGGTTCCTAGGCATACACATCCTTCGGGACCGGACTAAGAAGACGATTTGGCTAACGCAAGATGCCTATATCGAGAAAATAGCCCACAAGCTATTAGGACCGGACCGACTTTCCTCAAAGCTTCCAGACACACCAATGACAACAGAAGAGCTACTCCCTTCTATTAGCCAAGCAAGCGAACAGGAAATTCATAGGTACCTACAGAAGGTAGGATCTATCCTCTTTGCTGCTATTTCAACGAGACCAGATATCGCCTTTGCGGTCTCTCGGCTAGCTAGACACAACCAGAACCCCGACGAAACACACCAGAAGGCAGCAGACCGGGTTATTCTTTACCTCTATAATACCCGTTCCTTTGGAATTCGCCTAGGAGGATCAATCGATAAGAGAGCCGATATATTCCTTTGCTCTAGTGATTCATCCTTTGCCGATAATTCCTCGACAGAAAGAGCTCTCAGGGTATATCATGACCCTGTTTGGCGGATCTATTGCGTGGAGAGCTTCGAAACAAGCAACAGTCACTACTTCTAGCACCGAGGCTGAATTGCTAGCTATTTCAGAAGCAGCAAAGAAGCTATATTCCTTAGCCGGATGCTACGGTCCTTATACCTTCAGATTCCGGACCCGCTACAGCTAGAATGTGATAATAGTCAAACGATACGACTGCTTGCAGAGACTAACGCGAAGCTATCAACGAGACTACGGCATGTTGATATCCACCGGCATTGGTTACGCCAAGAGACTCAAGAAGGAAGAATTCAAGTCCGTTGGGTTCCTACGGCACAGATGAAAGCAGACGGCCTAACCAAGGCACTCCCTCGTCAGAAACTACAGAAATTCCAAGAGATGATTGGAATAGTTGACTTAAAAACCCGGCTTCAGCTTGAGACCCGGATGGAAGACCTACGAGACCGGATTCTAGTAAGACGGTTAGGAGAGAGGCCCTTGACCGCATAGGAATATTAGGGGAGGTCTCCCGGCCACGACTACACGGTAACCTCGTTGAGGACCTATAACCCTTTGGCTGTAGCTTTGACCCGTTGGGACGGCTCATAGCTAAGGGGGTGTGTCGAGAAGAAGGTCCGAACGAGTTGAGGTCTCTAGGTCTCTCTAGGTAATACAGCTTGAAACCAGGTAAGGGAAGTCTGCAGACTATTGTTTCTTCTTCCTAGACCACTGAGGGGTCCGGAGGATCTCCTATTCGATCGGGATCCTCCAAGGAGTCCGGTATATCTTTTACTGGCTCGGGGACCTCGAGAGACTGAACTATCGATTTCATAGCTAGAAGAGCTATTTGATCGGGGAGATGGAGCTGATGTTGCTGACGTAGATGACTTACGTGGCCTTCAGTAAGTGGCAAGAAGTGCCCTCTTCCTGATAGAATGTATACTATACCTGAAAACGGGATATCAACTTGGGAGAAGCGTGGAGGGATATAAAAGGGGCTGCTTGAACGGGGGAGGGAGAAAAAAAAAAGAAAAAAAAAACATCTGATCGGGTGACACTCGACCTTCAAAAAGTCCCTTTATCCACGTTTATGCCCGCTTTTGCTCTCTCCTTCGCGAGAGACCATGCTGATGCGGCGGTTGGTGGAGCGAAGGAGGGTGTTGAATACTAAGAAACAAAACACAGGATGGGTGGCGAATCGGCCTCCATGCCGTTGCAATACGTATCTGGTCCAGTATTGAAGAGAGTGATTCGGACGACGGTCGGCAGCGTCGCTTTGTCGGCCATGACTCGAGTCGCCCTTCGATTTCGGGCCGCCCCTTCCCCACGGGAAAAGCTTCGGAAATGTTCGAGGGAAGAAATCTTCGTGCAGGTTGTCTGCAAAATCCGCACCACGCTCTACTCGGACAAACGGCTGGTCTCCTGTAGTTCGGACCTGCATAACGCACGGCACAGAGTTGCCATGTCGGTCCGGATTGGCGTTGACGATGTCGGCCAGAAACGACAGTTTATCGGTCTCGGCGAAGGCAGCCGGACCATCGAGAGGAAACATGCCGGACGAAGACGTCTCGTAGACAGGATCAACTTCCTGGCCGATGGCGGCCGAGCCGGCGACTCTTGTCGCCGGCTCACCAGGGGAAGGTTGAGTCTGCTCAGTCGACAGAGTACGGTCCAAATCGCAAGATTCAGCGATGAGGGTAGGATCGATGGAGTTTACGAGTTCATCGATGCTTGTAAAGCTGTTTTCCGCCAAGCCTCGGTCAGTGTCCGGGACTATATGGTCCGTTTGTGTCCTCTCAACGGTCGACGGTTCCTCTCTTTGCATGCGGTCCATGATGACGGTCGGAACAGTGGAGCCATCGGCATACCGCCAGCCGTCCATCTCTGCTTGGTTGATCGCGATATTCTCGTAAAGCGGGTTGTTGCTCTGGAGCCATGCCAGGGCGGCTGCCACTCGAGATTTGCGCACCCGAAGCAGGTGTCCGACGTCTGCGGAGCCAGGCTTAGCCGAACCGCTCCAAGAGACGTGAATGTTCTCAATAGCCTGCAGCAAGGGATGGGGAAGAACGGTGGCAACAAGATCGTCCACCTTGTTTGGAAATACGACGATGTGTCCTTTCACGTGCTTGCGGTAGCTGATTCCCGAACGGGTCTTGTTGTCGACTGTGAACTTGGTGATGTAGCCAAAAGGCGTGTGCAGGGCAATGAGTCTCTCTTCGACGGGGGAGAGGTCATCAAGCTCGTCGGGGTATCGATGTTCGCAGCCGATGGCCATGTTATTGACCGAGCAAGCTTTAGGCAGCCGTCCGCTATCGAAGCCGGCGCGACACTCGCGACACACGTCAACTCTGGCGCCCTCATGTGACGGAAGGCACGCGCCACACTCTCGGATAGTCCTGGTCGCCTGCAGCATGGAGGGCGACAAGCGATCCCTCCACTGTATGGTGGCGAGTTCGAAAGGCGGTGTCTTCCTGTAGCAGAAGACGCAGTGGGAAACCGGCAACGTCCATTCCTCGGTAAACGCTTGGTAGAAAGATTTCGCAGCCTCTACCTGGAGGGCAACTGGAACTTCGTTGCACCAGGATCTTGTCGATGATGCCTGCTCTTTGACGCGGAAAGTGGCGTTATAGTGACGCAGTATGGATTCGACAGAGTCTCGTTGAAGCTGAACGGTTTCTTGCGTGGTGTTATAGTGATGCAGTATAGATTCGATGGAGTCTCGTTGAAGTTGAACCGTTTCTCGCGTCGGCCGGGGTCTTTTAGGGGAGCGCCTTGGCTGCGTCGGCGGTGGAGTAGGAGGCGCTTGCTCTTGTCTAGGTCGTTTCGGTGACGGAGTGGCAGGCGGCGGCGTCTGCGCAGCGAATCGGGATTGAGCAATAAATCGGGATTGAGCTTCACGGCGGCGGGTTCGGTCTTCGGCGCGCTGGCGATCCATATCTCGCAAGACACGGAGGATCTCATCATGGGGGACTCTGGCCAGTGGCGAAGGGTGTTGAAAGGACCGGCGCCGATAGGACGCCTGCGACTCAAGATCCCTCAAGGTGCGGCGAACCTCTTCGGGTGCGACAGTGGCTGGGTGTTCTCGCGGCATGATGCTGGGAAACAAGTGCTGGGAGGAAGTGGGAGGGGGATAATCTGTTACGGAGTGCTTAGGTCAAGGTCAAGACCCTTTGGTGGTCCTGTTGGTAGGAAATGGCGGTCACGACACACACGAAGTGAGGGGCGAGCCGCCGGCCGGTCGGAGCGGTCAGGCGGGCCCAGGGAGAGGGGCCGGAGCGGGCCGGAGCGGCGGAGCGGGTAGCCGGAAGCTATGAAGTAGGTGGCGGTGAAGAGTGGCTGGAGAGCGCACGGGGCATCATGCGGTCCGTGTTTTAGGAGGGGGAAGGGCGCGGAAGAAGGATCCTTTCGTCTCTTCGTTCCTCAAGGCATTGTTACAGGAGACCGGCCCCTTCCAGGGTCCGCCAATGCCTTGAGGAACGGGACGAGAGTTGGGCATAGCCGAGCGCGAGCATTCGGGTTGTTTTTATAAAAACAAGTCTGTTGGAGAAGAGAGGTGGTAGTGCGGCTGCTTGGACCCGCTACAGCACCTTACCTGTTTAAGCCTACCCCTCATCTCCACCCCTGCGGCACAAATGAGCTTCAAATTGATTCAGCCTCTTCACACAAGCAACCTTCAACGATTTGGTCATCGGAATTAGGTCATCATGGCCCTTGAGTGCAATAGCTGCAAGAAGTCGCCGCCTGAAGTTGCCCTCCTCAAGAGGTGCGCGAAATGTTCCACCACGCCGTACTGCTCCAGGGATTGCCAGAAGGCAGACTGGAAGGTCCATAAGAAGGTTTGTGGCAAACAGGCCGACGCCACGACATCGTTCCAAGATGGGCCTACAACGGGAAATTCATCGCCTCCGAAGGGGTTGGAACAGGGCGTCATCCGCCCCTTCACGCGTCTTGAAAATCGCACTTGGCTGCATGATCGATCGGAAAGAGATGTCTACGGGCTGCTGATCGACGCCTACCGACTGCGCGTTGAGGACATGTACAACATTGAAGGCGAAGCAGACGCGGATAGCATATATGGTGGTGCCGCCAACGGGTTGCGTGGCTTCAAGCGTTTCCTGGAGCGCGTCGAGCGTTGTCCCGGTATACTGCCGCCGTGGTGGGATGCAAAGAAGAAGAAAGAGTGTGAGACACTCGGTATGACCCCATCGCAATGGCACGACCTACGAAGCGCGGTGGAAAAGAGCGACATCATCGAGCAATATGGGGATTCCCGATTCCCGATGCAGCTTCGGATGTTTGCCGAGTCCGTGTACGGTCGAGCTCCGGGCGGGACAAGTGGGACGGCGATGAGTCAAATGATGGTCGCGATGGAGCAGGGTAAAGCAGAGGGATGGAGTCGCATATGATGGACATGTCAGCAGCCATGCTTGGTCGGCGGTGAAGGGATACGCTTGGTTAGTCGACAGCACCGCAGATCGAGTAGAAGCTGGCCGATCGTGGCTACGACGTACGAAAGGGTCAAACTATCGGGATGGTTAGTATACTGCCACTACTTTTCGAAACCTTGGCCTCGTATAACCGTCTCGTTTCCGCGGCCAAGTTCTTGAGTCTCTGCATTCCATCAAGTATGGCCTGATCCAGCCCATTGCCAATGAAATCATGGTACCTCACGGGACCAAGAAGCTTGATGCCCCGAAGCGAGGTGCACCTGGACAGTTGCACATAGAGGCTCGTAAAATCGCACTTGGAGGGTTCACCATTGGTCACACGATTTCCACGCAGCTCCAACAGTACCTCCACGAAGGTTTTACCCTGGGCTTTGTAATCAGTGAGAACGAACGCCGGTACGACGGGCAATCCACGTCGCGTGCATCTTGCCGACAAGAATTTGAAGTGAGAGTTAGTCGAATCAAGTGTATGTGACATGGGGCGGATGAGAACCGTCCCCACCGGGAGGGAGGGTATCGCCAAGGTTTTCGTCTCCTCGGACTGCAGAAGAATGCCGAGCGGCGGCCCGAAGTGGATGGTCACGTCATCCGCCAAGTGGTATCCTGGGTGATTGGGATCGAGTATTACGTCCACGGCAGTAAAGTCCGCCCCATTCACCACTTTCAAACCCGTGTAGATGTTTTTGTTCACAACCACAGGCATGCCCTGAGCGTAGAAGAAGACGCCGGGGACTTTGCAGGCGGAGTCGTCACCTTGTCCTATGGTTCGCGCTACGATGTTTGGAGAAAGCGTGCCGTTGCGCCAGGTGTGAGTCGAGACAAAGATACGGATATGCTGCCTGTTGAAGCGCGCCCAGCCCACGACGGCTTCCATGTTGAGGGCCCAGCGGGTGCGGTTCAGCGGCGTTATAGCACGCAAACCGTCATGGAAGGTGATTTGGGAGCGTCCTACAATGTTGGCATTGAGCAAGCTCAGATCTTGCTGGGTCTGCCGGCCGTTACGGACTCGATCCAGGAGTGCGCGGAGTTGGGGATCGTTGCGTGCGCGGACTTGGTCTTCGAGGAGCACAACGGTTTTGAACATGTACCACAATCTGCAGCCGCTGTGGTGAGAGATGGTGGCTTGTCGCAGGGGGGGGTCTGTGTTCGGTCCGGCGGTCTGTTGATCAGGAGGCTTGTTTCCCGCACGGGGGGCGAACTGGTAGAAGTCTCCCATCAGTAGAACGACAGGCATCCCACCAAACGGCTCGTCCGGACAGTCACGGAGTGCCTGCAGGTGACGACTGACGTTGTGCAGAGTGGCTCCTCCCAGCATACTGACCTCGTCAATCACGAGTACCAGCTTCAGTTTCCATATCCATTTCTTCGCCTCCGAGAAGGGGGGAGGCGGTTTGTTTGGATCGCGATGGGAATCCAACCCACAGGCCGAGTGGATTGTCGTGCCACCAATCTGGGCCGCGGTGAACGGCGCCGACGGGACCTGTGCGATTCAAGATCCCCCAAGGTGCGCCGAACCTCTTCGGGCGAAACCGTGACTGGCTGTTCTCGCGGCATCGTGCACGGGGACAAAAAAAAAGGAGCAGTTACCGGCGGCCGGCCGGGAGTAAGAATCCGGCGAGGAAGATATGGACCGGAGCGGGCAGCAGGAAGAAGGTGGGCCCGGAGCGGGCCGCAGGTGGCGGTGAAAGTGGCTGGTGGGCACGGAGCGGCATGCGGTCCGTGCGTAGGGGGGTGGAAGGTTTGCGGGGGAAAGAGGCGGAAGAAAGATCCTTTCGTCACGTCGTTCCTCGTTCCTCAAGGCATTGAAGCCGGCCGTGATACCCTTTTACCTATGGAAGGGAGTCGATTTTAGAGTCATACGAAGCGCACCACCGTCAATTTAAACACAATCGCAAAGGAAGTAGCTACAGCGGGTCATCTGTATCCAAAACTCGCCGCGCACGAGCTTCTTCATCCACCCGCCGTTCCATCTCATCGAAATCGGCCAAAGGGTCATCCTCATCTTCTATATCCTCCTCTTCTCGACGATTTGAGGGCATCGTGACCCGCTGTGAAGTCCACTGTGTAGCTGGCTGCGTGGCCTGATAACAGTGGATCGTGCCCTGCGTCTCGCCAGCAAGCTCGTTATCAGAGTCATCAGCAGCAGCGGCGCGCTGATACGCCCGTGGCATCTCTGTGCCCGGCTCGTACGAGTCGCCGTGTGTATGAAGGTATTCCAACGCCTGCCTCGTCATATTAGCGCCGCTGGCAGTGGTGTTGACAGCGACAGCCTTGCCCCTGCGTGTGTTGCGTGTAGAATTTGTGCCCGTCAGCGCTGCCGGCGCTGTTGACGGCGGCGGCCTTGTGGCCTCAGCTCGCTCGATGCCCTCAACGACCTCAAATTCCGACTGGTCGCGACGTGTGCTTTTTTTTGAAGGTTCAACGAGCCCTGTGGCCGGCCTTTGCCGTGTATAGGGAGCGGATCTTGTGGGGCGTCGTCAGGGCTCATGCCCTGAGGCTTTTCGCGATGCCAGAACACGTCAACTTCATTCATTTCGAACGGAACGGCGGCGACAGCAGCAGTATTTTTTGAGCCGTTTGAAGATATCGTGACGGCACGGCAAACCAAGGCTGCTCTTAAAGCTACAATAAAAGTAGGTATCACAGCAGCCCAGCGGCGGATTTGCCCGATCATTAGTAGCCACGTCAAGCGGCACAGCGCGATATTCAACCCCTATTTTCTGAAGGGCCCAGGCAGAGAGGTTCGGTCGGATTTTTGCGAAGACCGGCTTGAGAGTAGACGTTGATACCTTATATACCGCAATTTGCTGCAAATTGAGTATTTCGTCTGACTGGGAACGCCAAAAGGCCCGAAGACGCTGGAAAACAGAGGTCAAGTCGCCCATCGAGGACCATAGGAACCGCTTCATCGTAGAATGCATGCCCTCTATAATAGAGGTTGTTGTATGCCCGAGGTGCCAGTGCC